GTGATTGGTTGAAAAAGTTAACTGTTTTAAACAGTCCGATGATATGTTGTCATGTGGCATTATGTCAATGATTATGTTAACCGTTATGTTCATGTAGCATGATTCATCAAATCCAATGTTCTACGGGGCTTTTACTGTATAACCCAGTGTGCCCTCTCCCTATTATCTCTCCTCATGGCTCTGGACCATGTTTGGATAGTATAGTAGAAATGTTTTAGCTTTTTTTATTCATAATGTCGGGAAATTCAACGAAAGATTTTGTGATGTCCAAGTTAGATAATGATTCTATGAGAATTTGAAGTAAGAATGTAAGATGTAACATGTGAATGTTTTTAAATGTCTAAGAATGAGTTCATGCCTATCAATCCTTTATAGAGGGGCTTTCTGTACTCGTGGCATTAAATGTGAACTTGAAGCTTGTGGCCACAATACTCCGACTACACAGCTTGTGGTCTTACGCGTCCGCGTGTAAGCTTGCTCAGGCGAAAAGTCCGAGCATCGATTGACTAAGTTAAAAGGGGTACTAAGTTTTTCGTTTTTATTAGGTAAATTATGTATTTTAGTTTTTGTTTGTTACATCATATTTTGATTGCAATGATGTACTTATATCTCTAACTTTTTCATGTCGTATTCTTTTTTTCAACATTTCATTAATTAGTACATATTGTCTCTAATAATCATTTTTGTCCAAAAATTCGTTAGGAGGTGTAAAGACTTATTTGTTCATTATATTTAAAAACAGGCAAAAAAAAAATGAATAGAAAAATTCGACAAATTATTTGTCCCTCAATTCAATACATGCTAATGGAATATTTGGATAGAAACTGTAATGAAGAACAAAATACTCTAATTAATAGAAGGTTGAGGATAAAAATGGGACGAAAAAAAGTTGAAAACATAAGTGTGACACAAGTAGAATTTGGGGTCCACCAATGCAATTAAAATATGGTGCAACAAATAAAATTATGCTCCAAATATAACTTTATTTTTTATTTGCTTTTGGGCCATGGGCTTAGGTTGCTTTGGTTCATTATATATAGTGGAATTACGCCACTTACCTTATTTTTAATAAATATTTAAACACTACTTTGTAATATTCTTTTCAATAAATACTGTAAAATCATAGTAAAAATAAAACATGATAACTAAATAAAAAAGGATAATAGTTTAGGTAACTTAATTTACTCCACAAACACACCCTTAAGGTATCTATTGATTAATCTAGAAATCCCTAAAATTTTATCGATTCATCTTCCTCTCAAATCCTCTCCATTGAAAATCATCTTCCTTCCAAAACCCCCTAAAACATCTTTCACAAATTGATCTTCATACAATTCTCCCACAAGTTTATGCTATGCTAAGCTATTCTTTAGAGTATTGTTGATATCGTGAAGTTATAAATGTTTATGTAGCTGACTTTAAATTTATTTCAAGGATGCTAATTAAGTTCGATGATGTTTATGTTGGAAATATGTAATAAAATCNTTTTGAATTCCAAATTTTAAGCACCTGAGTTTTTATAATTTCCCTTCTTTATATATATTGTTTATATATTACTGGGAAAATATACATAATCACTTAGAATAATAATGATATTTATTATCATTATGATGGAATATCGATAATGTGACAAATTATTATTTCTCATATTTCTCTCTCATAAAAATTGAATGGTCAAATCTCATTATTTCACATAAACTATCCACCATCAATGTTCCATCATCATAATGATAAATAGCATTATTCAATCGTTTTCATATGTTCAATTTGTACGGTACAATACTGAAAAAGGATAATAGCATATTTGGTCTTCAACCTTTTAAAAATATGTGGGATATAACCGAGTTTTAAAAATATCACCAAACATCCCCACTAGTTGAGGAAAGAAGTATGATAGGTTCCATTTCAACTTTTAAGGTCAAATACAAAGACAGAATTTCCCTCCACTATAAACAAACAAAAGACAAAAGAAAAGACGAATAAAAAATAACAAAATGTACCCTCCAAAAATGAAGAATAACAAAGAAGCCATCTTCATCCTTATAAAGGTAACCACCACCAACCCATCGCCACCACTTTTCTACCATTTTTATGGGAGGGGAGGAACGAGATAGGGAAAATCCTCCTTTTTGCCAATTTTATATCGGAGAAGAGGAAGGTAAATCGAGTGTGAGCTAGTTCGCTTCGTGAAGCATGGGCTCAACTGTGAGCTCGTTCCTTGGTAGGCGAGCTAGGTCGACTCGCGAGTCTTTAGCTTCTCGTTGTTGTGTTTTTTATATCGCAAGTACACGATATCATAACAAGTAATATAGTGAATCTTTGAGTTCGGATTATCATTTCCACGATGACTATACTTTAGAACTTAATCTAATTTTTCTAACTCCTATTTGACAAAAACAAACAAATAATTATGATGACTCTAATTATTTTTCATAACTATTTTTAACTAATGGAAAATATAAAATGATTTCAAACAATGAATAATTGAAAATTCAAATATGCGATGAATATTAGGGAATAACAATTTCATCTATTAACCACCTTTATTATTAATTCAAGATTCATAATCTAATGTAGTGTTCGATCGAATTCTTCTACTGTATTCAATTTACCCCTCTCGAGTTCTCATTGAACTTATTTAACTAATTAAATTTCATATCTCTATGCGAATCAATTTTAGTTACACGAAACACTAGTTCTAAGAATTCATATTATGATCGCAATAATTAGTATATGTATCTTTACATATTATACTAATTTACCAAATTTTATTA